CCCCCCGTAGAAACGCAGAAAAGAATACAGGCAGAGCAATGTGTTAGTGACATATTTGAATTAATTTGCTGGAGGGCAAATGTGACACAGCACAAGATCGTCACTGTGAACGAACGCATATGCACCGTGCTGCTGCTGTATTTCTGTTTTTGAAATCAAAAAAGAGCCCTGGTAGAAAAATAGTCTTTTCCTGGTATTTATTTACCATTTAGTCAGTGCCTAACTACTGGCATTTAACAAAGGACAAAAAATTTAAAACCATGCTGGCATGTCTAAATTATCGTCACAACATTTGGCGCATCAGCTTAGCTAGACACAGCCTTCAGGCAGTGTACGTTCAAGCCATTGGAGATAAGAAAAACAAAGAACTTATTTTAGATTGTGAACGTGACTCTATTTTTCAGTCCATACTACAAAGTACTTTATATTTTCTATTAAGATGGTCTATATTTAATTGCTAGCAAGTGACAAAAGAAGACAACATGAATCGATCTGTCGCAATCACACAAGGTAAAACTCGTATATAGTTTTCATTTTGCTGTGAATAACCTGGTGCTAGTATACAAGGTAGTGTGCACATAACCAGTTACAGTAGATGCACAATCTAAGCAGGTTGTAAAGTACTGTTGAAATCTTACTAATAATGCGCATGCGTATTTTTTTTCTTGATAGAATAGGCGCAGGTGTTAGTTGAAAGAGAAGCTCTGTTCTCTCCAAGCACGGTGACATTTCAGAAACTTATTCTGGAATTCAGCCAGAATGATTGTTTTGCACTGTGAGATACTGAGCCGTTGTTGGAAAAGTCCTACATAAAACACACCTAGGTATTCAATTCTGCCAAGTGTTTTGAGCTAATCTGCCCGGCTATGATACTCTTCTCAGGGAAAACTTGTTGCAAACATGGTTGATTAACATCTTCCCGACCAACAATTAACTGTTGCGTTATTGAAATGCACAGTTTGGCGATCTCAGCAATCTGGCGTTCTCAGCTTCAGTCTGTAAAGCGATCGAGTGAGAACAGTTGTGTAGTTTTGCGGAGCCGCGAATGGAATGCATGTTGAAGTCTCCAGGAAGAAATCGCTGCCGTTGTACTTTTGCTGAAAACCTTGAAACCTGTTGCAAAGACGTTGTGGGCAAATCCCCAACAGCACAGTGGGGCAGGTTGTCTCACAAAACTGACAGACACGGTGCATCATTGTGACTGTACACGTGTGTGTACGCCAGTGTGTATTACTCTGCTCCTAGGGAGTGCTAGCAGGCCAACTGAAGACGGAAGGAAAAGCAGCACTGCTCTGCACCATATGCCAAATATGAGACTGCCTGCCAATTTGTGGGGGATACTGGCAAGTGCTAGCAAGGCTGAATTCTTGACAGAGGGAGATGAATAATTGAACATGTGCGAAGCGAAGTTCTGTTGGGATGGAGTAGGGTGCCTTTATACATGGAGAAAGGGAATGGAGACAGTCAGACCGTCTACAAGCAAAGCTCTCATTTAGATATTGATGTGTTTTTTTTTCTTCTTTTTTTGCAAACATGTCAAAAAGTTGCAGAGATTTTAGATGGACTTGAATGGATTTATGGAGAGATGTGAAAGAGGAAGAAAGCACAGCCCATTGGCATCTGTGTATTGTGATCATATGAAGCAAAACCAAAGCTAACATGTTAGTGTTACAGTCTCACTGAAAACACACAAAAATACATACATTTAAAAAAAAAAACACACACACACACACGAGAAATCCTTGTAACTTCATCAGTGTGTTTCGTGTTTTAATAATTTAGCAGACACACTACTGCCGAACAGCTCCAAGTATATTCAGCAGTTGAACAAACCTATAGGCTCTCATACTTTCCAGACCTCATTCCTTGTAAATTACTAATGGAGTGAAGGACCAGAAGAAAATATTTTATCTCATATGCTTAAGCTGTATACATTACAGCTTTGTACATCATTTCAAGGTTTCATGTTAAAAATGGGAACAAATTGCAATAAATTGTACTTTGGAAGACATTAAATAACAGCTGCATTCAACAGCTGGTTTAGACTAAGTGTGAAAAATGCATCCTGGCAGGTTTCAAGAGGTGATTACATTTAGGATGTGAGCCCTGTACCGTATGTTGTGTCCTACTGTTTAATATGGCGCCATCATTATAGGAAATATGTTGTCTGGGCATTTTTGTTTTTTGCACTGGGGGAGGTTCACATTTGATTTCAAATGATCCTTTAGGGAGATGTGACAACATAGATCTACCTTAGGCTTTTGTAATAAAGGCCTTTAGGCTGGTCCGTGCATTTTTGATTGAGGGAAAAATATGTATTCTCTAACGGGTTGATGAATGGTTAATGAAGGTTGCTGTAAAAGTTGCGCCTTGTCTTTCCAAAACCTGCAACTTTTACTGTTCTCCCATTCTTGTTTCTTTCTTTTTATTCTTTGTACAGATAGATAATATTAGTCATTGTGTGTGAGATGTCCTTAAAGCTGGAATGAAGTAACCAGTTGTATCTCAGAATATTCAGCTTTAAGGCTCTCCAAATTAAAATTGTAAGCCAGGAATGCAAATTTGAGCTTTGGCGATCAAATCTCACTAAGAAACCCCGCTTGAGGACACCAGGAGGGGAGACAACTGTGAGGAAAAACAACGGGAGACTCCATGGCTGTTTCTAGTCTATCTGTCACCAGGTGCCAGCGTCTGAATAAACATTGCCCACAATGACATTGCGTAAATGTGTGTAATGTGAATATTCAGTGTTCTGTAATTTCCCTGTGTTTCATTGAGTGAACACAAGAACAACATAAACATCACAACAAGCATTTGAAGATAATGATGAATCCCACTGCTTGAGGCAATGACAAGAGGTATAAGAAAGAAAACAAACTGTATTCTGGGTAAATGGTGCCGCCTGGATAATAGACAGAGACAAATGTGAGAGACTACGCAGTTGTGACAGCAAATTTTCTTCAATAGTAGCCTTACGTTCTGTATATGTCACTGTCCGGCTATTGCCTGTGACTTTCCATTAATCCTGAGAAATTGATCTGTTTTGTTCTCTTGTTTAACGGTGACTTTGCAATGCCACTTTTACTGAAACCTATTATGTTCTAATCATCGTCTCCTCTCTCTTTTCCCCATGCCCTTTTTCTTCCCTCTCTTTCTCTCTCGCTGACAGATACCACCCTGTCCAGTGAACGTGGTAAGTACTGCAGCCGCACGCTCCCGTGATTTTGAGCCATCTGTGCATGGACTCCGCCAGCGACAGAGCAGTGGCTGTTTGCGTTAATGTGGAAGGAACCATTCTCAGATTTTAGTCTCAGTGGGGGAGCGACGAGCCATAAACATCATTTGCATTACTGGGAAGCTATTCTCCATCACATTGCATGTCACAGCAAATGTTGAAACGAGGAGAGAAACATCAAGAGAAAGCAATTATGAAAGCAGCATCCTCAGACCCATGTGGCCTATCACACTTTGAATTTTGCATATTTTCCCTGCATGCATTTTGCCTCGACCTACTTAGTCAATTTACCCCCTTTTGACTCCAATAGTGCTCAATAAGGAGCCAGTAAGGAGCATCTTTTTTACTTTGCGTCCTTCCAGCTATAGTGGAACTCATCTCCATGTAGGTGAAATGGAAGTGGATAGAAGTCCCCGCTGTGCCATTATTAATGTCTTCCTGTAATATGTCTCGCCTCTTTATCAAATCGGCTGAATGTCTGAGTCTATCTGCAGTACTAGCTTTGTTTATATTTCATATAAATATATATGTGTGTGTGTGTGTGTGTGTGCTTTCTGGCATTATATCCAGTTTTGGGTCACCTGTGTCGGCCACTTGTCTTCTCTAACATTGCTTTCTATGCTCATTAGATGTTCCCGCTGTACATGTGTGAGTACAGCGCTAATACAAGAAGTCATCATGTCGCATTTGCTCTCCAGCGTATCGTTTATAACTTGAAAATGTTGAGCCAAAGCCGTGCAGTGACATCACGCGATATAGATACAACTACTGTGTCTGGTCTTTGAAACATCAAAGTGGCAGGAGGGAAGAGAACTTGCAAAGTTGTGGTTTTGATCAAGCACTTTAGGTTTATTTTTGTGTGCCTGGTTAACCTCTATTTGCTGGTGGAGGAGACGATGATATGAAGCACAGAGAAGATTGTGTGATCAATTTTTCATTGCCAAGCTAGCAGCCGTGCGGTGCTTCTTTTTTTTTTTTTTTTCTTCTTCCCCCAATCCAGTTAGGCCTGAACAAAGAGCGGGGAATAAGAAGTCACAATGGGTAAAGATTTGTATTCGTTCTGAGCGTAATCCTTGATGCTGACCTCATCTCTGCCTCTCTTAACCGCCCTGCCGCTTTTACATTAAAACAAACGCACAGGTTCTTTCCTCTTCTGCACCAACACTTTTCTTTTCTGTACTGCTGAGTGGACGCATAATGTGAATGATAGTTCACAATGAAACGCCCCCAAAAATAATAAGTAAAAGGGAAGTAATGAATGGATTCCAAAGCAGCTGAGAGAGAGGAAGAAGTCTTAAGGCAAGGTCTGTGTGCCCTTGGAACCTTTATGAAGTGCAGTCAGCAGAAAGCCAGCCAGCAGATTGCTTATCACTCAGGAAAGAATACATCATTCAAACCATTCACTTGTGGTTTTCATATAGCTGTGATTTTGGATGAACACAAACACATAACATGTAACTGCGGTGCAAAGTCATACTTGAGCTCCATCCTTGTGCCTACCTGTGCTTAGCAATCTCGCCCTGTGTCGCTAGCAGGGGTGGGGCATGTTTTTAGTCATCTGATAGGCCTCCTCAACATCAAGTGCCTGCTCGCACATCCTCTTCTAACTTAATTGGCTGTACCTGAGGCGAGAGGGCAAGGTGTAATTGTGATAAAAGAAAACGCTGTGCTCGGCTGGTTTTAGTACCTTTATCTATAATCTCCAGATTGATTATGGTTTTTCTGCCAGCCGTGCAAATTGTTCATCCCAATAAACTGCACTAGAAGCCACCTTAACTCTGTCATGTCCAGAGCAAGATACATTTGCATAAGGTTAGAATATATAGTAATCTGGAACTTTCAAGTAATTTCTTTTAGGTGTGTGTGTGTGTGTGTGTGTGTGTGTGTGTGTGTGTTTTTTCAGGTATCAGGATTACAAATATTACGTGAATCTGTTTTTCTTGGCCAAATACACAAGGCTATATTTCCCTGTTCGCCTTAAGAAATCAATGTTTTTCTTTTCTAAGGAGTTCAAATTAAATTTAAATTGAGAAGACTTGATTGTCTTTTTAAACAGAAAGCAGCGTATTATTTTCCCTGTTTTGTTAAAGGTTCAAAACAAAATCCAGATATAACTGAATATGTGGACTTTAACTTTGCTGATTAGTGGATTTCTTTTCCCATGGGACAGAGCCAGGCTGCCTTTCAACCCATGTTTTCTGCAAAAAAGTTTCTTGTTAATTTAAAAACTCTATATTTTTATTCTTGGTCTTTGCAGATCATCCAGTTTACAAAATCAGACATTAGACATCAGTGACATTGGCCTAAAGACCCATCTGTAAGCTGCTAACCAGTTGGTAAGGAAAAAAGTGTATTCCACAAACACTTGGAGAGTGGAGACTAAAGATGTCACCTCTTGAACTGATAGCAAAACAGTGCTGCACCACAAACCTCCTTGTGACTGCTATTGCTTGCTAGCAGATTTCCCTGGTTACCTGTTAGGGCTGGGTATCGTCACTGATTTCTAGAATCGATTCAGTTCCGATTCACAAGATCCCGAATCGATTCGATTCAATTTGAATAAGAATAACTTTATTTATCCCGAGGAAAATTCTTTTGTCATGTACATGCTCCAAGCAGCAGGAGAGACAGAGGAACAGATGATTAAGATATATAATATATACAATAAGAATAGTAATATACAGTAGTAGGATAGTGCAAGACATAGTATCAAATAACTCTATAATAAATAAAAAACTTAACTATCAGTGCAGGCAATTCTAGAAAGTGACAGTATTGTGCAATAGAATAAAGGGAGTAGCAGCGTATGATGGGGGGATGAAACAAATATTCAATAAGGGGAATTTTGCCTCTGAAAAATTTTGAATCTGGGAAATTTTGCCTCAAACAGTCAGATATTATAATTCAGATCATGCATCAGTACATTTCCATATTTTTATATCTATAAAAAGGAAGTTGACACTTGCTCAAAGGTGTGAGCATCACAGCAGATGCTTTTGTGTCAAAGTAACTGAGGATAAAACAGAAAAACATGAAGGTGATTTTCCTGGCCTGGGATTTTATAAAAATATTCTGCAGTACATCAAAAACGAAAGAAAACCATTAATCAACATATGAACATTACCTGATGCTGCTGAAGTAAAGCAGAGCAAAGTTACAGCGGTTTTATTAGAGACACAGCAACGCGTTTTGCATTTTTGCATAATTTTAAAAAGTAAAAATTTCTTCAGATGCCCATTGAACAGCAGAAATGAGGCTTTCTTTTTGGAAGTAAGTAAAAGGAAAAAACAGCGGCCGACAGCGCTGGTAGACTTGTGCGTAATAAGCAAGCGAATAATGTGGAAAAAAGATTTTTAGATGGGAAACTGTTCTTGAAGTACACTGAGAGAGAGAGAGAGAGAGAGAGAGAGAGAGAGAGAGAGCTGTGCATGAAGGGTGATTTTATTGTGGTGGAAACAAAACGGCAAAAGTCAGAGGAAATTCATGACGATGTTTATGAGAAGCTTAGTTTGGATCTTCTTTTGCTGCTGGTTCAGTCAATATTGTTTGGAAAGAGATCAAACCTGCAGCTTTAGAATCAGCGCAAAAAGGGCGTAAACACAAAGCGCGGACCCGCCGAAACATCTGAATCAGCGAGCTGTCAGCTTTCAGCCCCGACCGTGTCTGTGCCGTCGGGTGAGAAAGGCACATCTCACTGATTTTGATCCGTCGGCGGGTCCGCAACGGTTTACGTCTTTGTGCAGAATCCGTGTACCTGCTCTCATTTATTGTTAGCTGTTTGGTGGTTGAAATTTTGTGAGGTTTAACCTGAGATTCTGCGGTGTCGGGCAAAAAAAAATTATATTAAAAAATCGATTCAGGATTTTAATGAATCGATATCACGTTATCCAAGCCAGAATCGATTTTAATCGATAAATTGATAATCGAAACCCTCCCCTATTACCTGTAGCTTTCATGGAAGACACAGTCTTGTCTGCAAACACTTGTTAATTAAATAATTAAGTAAAATTTGACAGCAGCCATCTTTAAAGTTGAAGTCGTGCATTGCTGCTTAAACCAACACATTTCTGACTTACCTACTTTCAAGGTGAACAGTCTCCATTTCTGGTTTGCATCGCACTCTTCATAGTTTCACTACCACTTAGAGACTAGTTGGTAAGTCTTTGCATCATCAATCCAGACTAGGGGCGATAAGGGAAACCTGTGGGTGACTAAAACAAACACAAGAGGCTTTCGCTACAGCACTTTATACCTCATTGTGGTCAATTTCACATTTTGGGGAGTGTAGCCGTTTTCCCCTAGCAGCCGGTGATACCAGGGAGTCCATGATCAGTCTCTAGGCCGACATGAATGGTGCTTTAGCAACTGATTTCAAAATGACTGCCAGTGTCCACCAGCAACCACTCAAAACCAGTCAGCGGATACTTATTTTTCCCCTAGTGACTGGTGGTTGCCAGCCTGCCGCTAAGCTTGCGTGACTGGAGCCTCAGCAGATTTCAAAGAATAATTTCTAATTTGCTTCAAGCCAAACGTTTTCTGATTGTCTGTCTCTAACAAGTCTGCCTTTTTAAAACCTGCCCTTATTTGGAAGTATGAAATGTGTATATCTTGCTTCTTTAGCATGCTTACTGTTCTTAAATTGTCTTCTAAAATACAGGTGAGATAAACTGGTATGTTACCTTTATTACCATTTGTTTTAAAGCAGGTGAACAGTCTTTAAACCCTTCACATTTGATGTGATCGAACCAAAAAGCAGAGAAAACCAAAGTGAAAAACATGGGTGGAAGAGCAGTTTATCACAGAGATCACTATCATCTTTTCAGCTAACCCTTGGGAAACAAGCAAGCCTAATTAATTCCCAAAGTTAAACAACAGTTTCTTCCTTTTTTTAAAATGGAAAGTCACTACATATGTATCTGATGTGCCTATTGAAGTCCTTTGTGTATAGTTTCCGTCTC